ATCAGTAGCCCATGGTTACTTTCCATTTCGATCTCACCGGTTCTTGTCCTGGTCCGGCCGGGATGCTGGATGTTTGCCTGCTGGATCAGTCCTCGTTGTATGCCTACGCTGCAGTTTTTCTTGATCGATCACTTTGGTTAGTTAATACTCCCTTCATATTTTAATGTACGATGCCGTTGACTTTTTAACCAACGTTTGACCACTCGTCTTATTCAAAAATTTTATGCAAATATAAAAATACTTATGTCATGCTTAAATAACATTTGATGATAAATCAAGTCACAATAAAACAAATTATAATTACATAAATTTTTTAAATAAGATGAAAGGTCAAACGTTTGTCAAAAAATCAACGGCGTCATACATTAAAATACGGAGGGAGTATCATGTTACTGAGAAAGGGAAAGCTGTAGATAGCTTCATTAATTAGCGAGTTTTTCCCTAAAGGATGCATGTTAGTATATGCATTTGTAAGGGAGCTAAGCAGTTGCATCCATCCCTGTTGCAGCTAGTGAACGTGATGCGTGACTCGGATTCGTGTGTGCTTTTTATTCTTTGGTCGGTTGGCTCTTCTCTCCTGTTAGGGTCGTTTCGTGTTTCTGAATCGAACCCTTCAATTTCGTACTATATACCACAACACTTGATTTTTCACATTATGACCAGTTTTAAAATCTTATCTATTATATACTAAAAGTCCATTAAGCTTCTTACAAACACTCCTAAACCGTCACATAGCGCTCCTACAAACACTCCTAGACCGCCACGTGGCACTATCTAATATCACCGTTGATTTTCACTTAAATTGGTGGACCCGTTAATTTAGACCATTAGATTAAATCTATTATTAAAAAGGTGATAGTTTTTCCTTAAAAAATATGCAACTGGTGTCCGTACGCAAGTATAATTGAATAAAAAAACAAATAAAGCTTCCTGCTGTTAGGCGGAAGGAAAAGAAATAAACATATACGTACGATAAAAAATAATAAAGCCAAAAAAAATGTGTCGTTAGTACCCTTGGAAAAAAACGACGATCTAATGTAGGACTTTGTATAATATAAAATATAATATTACATAATATATGGAAGTATAGGCATGTAAACTATATCTATAATATAAATATCAAATATCAAATCAACGGTCTCTACACATTATCTTTTAAATTATTTTTAATTATATGCCCAATTTATGATCCATTGTATTCGTTAAATTATATAAAGTATCGGTGTATAAAAGTAATGTTGTGGTCTTAAATACATCATGATACATCAGGTCGACATACAATAGGTAACTTTAGAGACTAAAAATCTATTAAACTTCCTATAAATGCTTCTAAATAGCCATGTGGCGCTCCTACGAACGGTTCTATCCACCACGTGGTGCTCTAATAAATTAGAGAAAACCTTACGAATTGTGAGAAAAAACATGCAATCATTTATATTGGTGGACCCACTATTTTTAAATTATTAGATTAGATTTATTTAAAATACATCTAACCTGCTCGAATAAAAAAAATCACGTGAATAGTTGTACGTATATATACGTACTTCCGTACTTTGCTACTCACTTAAAAAAAAGAAAAAAAAAGTAATTACGATTGAAAAAAAGAAGGATTAGCCCTACCACGGTCCCACCTAATTGCTACGAGTTACACGTACATATGTACTGTTCACCCAAAAAAGTGAAAAAAAAAATCTCAAATATGCCATATGTACTACTATCCACCAGATTGAGAAAAAAATTATCCTGGGCATGTACAAACCCCATCATCGGCTTTCACTTAAATCATTTAGAAAAATTAGAAAAATAAAATCTCCACCTCCTCCTCACTCTCACATCTACACAACTCTGTCATCCCCTCCCTATTGTTTTATCTATTAAACTAAAAGAGAAACAATAAATAATCTTTAATATTTTTTTAGTACAAAGTACAAACACGGGCGCTCACAACGCGCATACACTCACATCTATGAACACACACATGCATATACCCCTATGAGTACTTCCGAGAGACTAGGGTGATATATATTAAGATTGACGAAGTCACTACGTACGTCTCGCTGTCGATGTGTACGTCACCTACTACTGAAAGAATTTGTTAAGTCTGGGACATTAACCCGAGTGGGCAAATTCCATTACAACGAACCTAACCGGTTGAGCTACGTTCACTTCGCAATAATGTTGGATATTAAACCGACCATAATTTTTAAGCTATATTTTTGGAATACTTATATGCCTTTTAAACCGGTGGAATCATTATTTCTAATAGTTAGATCTATCCTATATAAGAAAAACCAGATGTGTATACATGATGTATTGTGCAATTATATTTCGCTTTCACGTTAGCTTGCGTGGAACTTCTGACCCACTCTATATGAAATGTTCATACATGGACCAACTCTCAAATTACATCAATCATATTAAGCTATATAAACCCATATATTTAGTGGAGCATCATGTCCCACCCAATTAATCCTCGAATAAACCATGATAATATATATGCAATAAAAAAAGAAAAATACCTCAGTTTTACTTTACACTTACTTTTCGTTGACATGTATTCTAAAGAAAATAAGTCTACCTTTTTCAAGTGATGAAGAAGATTATAAATAATTGCTTATAGATATTACTTTAATATGATATAATATAAAACTAATATGTTAGAAAATTATAAAAGAAATTAATGTAGACGAAAACAATTTATGGAGAAATCGTGGTAGATATTCACGGTTAATATTTTGCTCTTATAAATGTCTCAAACTTAGCGTATGACGTATGCCCGCGCATTCGCGCGGGCTACCTTCCTAGTTTTATAAATAGCCTAAAAATATCCTAAGTTTGGACCCCTTGACACGGAGTTATGGGTGATTAGGTTCCACACTTTCTACATTTTTTGATGCACCGATACAATAGTTTTCAGCTGTTCTGGTATCGGATATATGTATCCGATACAGTGATAAGCCACTACTGTATAAAAGCTCATAGGTACCGGTTCCAAAGGGGTAGCCGGTGCTGGCACCAATTATTCAATACCAATGACTTTGGGTCTATGTGACACTATAGGTGTCGGTTCTAAATTAGAACCGGCACCTTTAGGGGTGCACTTATTTTTTAAAATTTGCAGGTGCTAAAAAAATTGAAAAAAATATTTGGTATTTCCATTAGGCACCTATACGATCACTCTTCTTCCAACCAGTCACATGGATGTTTCAACAAATCTATACTTTCTGTATAGTTGTTACCCACTAAAGTTAAAGCTCAACATGTAAGCATGCCACATCATCACCCACTAGCAATTACTATTCTAGCCCATTTAAAATCCCATGCAAGCATGCCACATCTTCACTCACTAGCAATTATTATTCTAGTCTATTTTAAATCCCAAGCAAGCATGACATATCATCTACAATATTCTATTATAGAGTTCAACAAGTATGTGTCAAATCATCTTCCTCACATTATTTTCTTAACATTTCAACTTTCATCATTTCGACAATATTTAATATATACTCATCCGTGAATCCCGCAACAGAGCGCGGGGTATCACCTAGTATTCATATATATGTGTGTCATGTAAGATTCAAACTCAAAATCTCTCTCTTCAACCAAAGCTTCCTCACCATCTTACACACACGCACTTGTCTTGAAAACAAATGTTATTCTTTTGAGACTATTGTCATCCAAACTTATAATTCATAATTAACACCTTAGATGAGCTCAAATAAAAAGTTTGTCAACTACATAAATGTAGATATCATCTATCTCTACAACTTTTATATAGATTTTGTCTCCTTTAGATATTGTTTAGAAAATTTAAATATCCACTTGAGCAAATAGATCCAAGACCTTGTAACACATTTTTGATATCCAAACAACCTTAAATCGAAAAGTCATCAACTAGAAAATTATAAATCTCGTCGAGTTCTACAAATTTGATACAAAGTTTATCTTTGTCCGACTTCAAATGAAAAAGTTAGATAAAAAACACACGTATATTGTATCATCATAGGCACCGGTTTTAATGGTAAACCGCTACCTATGGGCTCATAAGTGCCGGTTTTTATTGAAAACTGACACATGAACGATGCCCGTATGAGCTGGTTCATAATAAAAAGGTACCTATGATACCGCACTTATTGGTGTCGGTTTATTATAAGAACTAGCACCTATACCATGTCCATGTATATCAGTTTGTTATAAGAACCGGCACCTATAACTTTAGAGGACTATTGGTGCCGGTTTTTGAAATAAACCGGTACCGATGAGTGGTTATAGGTACCGGTTCTCAATTTTACATTGAAAAAAATGTAGAAAAAGCTTCATAGCCGGTTTTAAATAAGCCAGCACCTATAAGACTAATCTCTATGTGATGTTTTATAGTAGTGAGCGGGATATGCCAGCGATACGGTATTTGGTAAGTATTGTTAATTCGTTAGAAAAATAAATTAAGAAAAAATAGAGATATGTCCTCGATACATACCGGAGGAGAGTATAGATGAAGCTAGATAAGAGAGTTTGGGCAGTCCAATGTGTAACACAGATAATCTTACCTTATTCCAATGTGAGAATATTAGTTAAGGGTAGTAAGTAAAACTTTAGTAATAAAAGGTGGTCCAAACTGTCAATTCACTCAATAGTAAAAGTATGGTCGAATATTCATTTTTCAAAGTATACCAACCGTTTCATATTATAACACGCTTTAATTTTATTCTAGTCAATTTTTTTACGTTTGACCAATTCTATAGAAAAAATTAGTAATATCTACCACATCAAATTTGTTTCACTAAATCTAACATTGAATAACATTTTGATCATATGTTTTTTAGTGTTGAAAAATGTTGTTGTGTATTTCTATAAATTTGATTAAACTTAAAAATTTTGACTTAGAAAAAAAAAGGAGGAAGTATATAACAACATATTTTTCTTCTTAAAGTTCTTTAGGAGCATGTCACTTGCTAAGAGCCTGTCACATGGACAATTTCGCCCTTAATTTGTAGGCACCCTTGATCACTTCAACTCTACCACCTCAATTTATTGACTTTTGGTTCACTTAGATTCTTAGAAACATGAAGACAACAGAGGGACAGAGTTTACACTTGCATTGCAAACACTGAAACATACACCACACTGCAGGGCTTCTCACTTAAACTGAAGCTGCTTCTACTACTGACGAACAGGTGCTCTGTTCTCTCCATTCACCTTAAACTCTGAAGGAGAAAGAGCCCAAACAATGCCGACTTGACCACGGATATCACCAGACGAGCTCAACTACGCGTTGCTCCGGAAGGAGCCGTAGCCCCTTGCACTGGCACGGAGGATGACCTGGTGGTACAGCGCCGCGATCGCCGCGCCGATGAACGGCCCAACCCAGAAGATCCACTGCGTCACACAGATGAACACCAATGCAATGTCAGTTCATGGCCAATTAACCAGCCAGGAATGAGAAACAAACAAAGCAATTCTTGCACAATTTGGCAGTAAGGTAGTATGTACCTGATCACTCCAGGCCTTGTTGTTGTTGTAGACCACGGCGACGCCGAGGCTCCTGGCCGGGTTGATGCCGGTGCCGGTGATCGGGATCGTCGCCAGGTGCACCATGAACACCGCGAACCCGATTGGCAGCGGAGCCAACACCTTTGATTTATCGAAATTAAATAGAAGCAATGAGCTCGAGTTCTTGCAATGTGCAAATTGCTGCAGGGTGCAAACACAAATCGATGGAAAGTTTATGCACTTACGGGAACATGTGAGTCGCGGGCGTTGCGCTTGGGATCGGTGGCGGAGAAGACGGTGTACACGAGCACGAAGGTGCCGATGATCTCGGCGGCGAGGCCGGTGCCGGTGGAGTAGCCGGCGGCGAGCTCGTTGGCGCCGCCGCCGTACCTGTCGTAGAGCGAGCTCTGGAACCCCTTGACGAGCGCGACGCCGCAGATGGCGCCGAGGCACTGCGCCGCCATGTACAGGAGGGCGCGCACCAGGGACACCTTCCGCGCCAGGAAGAGGCCGAGTGTCACCGCCGGGTTGATGTGCCCGCCGGAGACGCCGGCGGTGCAGTAGACGAGGATGAAGATCATGCCGCCGAACGCCCACGCGATGCCGAGGACGCCCACACCGCCGCACGCCGCGTCGGCGCCGTTCACGGCGGCGTCCGTCTGGTGCTTGTACCCGATCACCGTGGCCACCGTGACGTAGAGGAAGAGCAGCGTGGCGACGAACTCGGCGATCAGCGCGCGGTACAGCGACCACTTGCCCAGCTCGTCGACGTCGACGAGCGGCGCCGGCGGCGGGTCGATGTAGTCCCGGGCGCCGCCGGCCTCGAGAGTGGACACGTCCACCTCTTTGCCCATTGACCTCGTTGAGGACTCGATTGGTTTGCAAGAAGTGATCACAGAAGGAGGAGGCAGGAGCTAAGCTGCTTGAGAGAGGTTTGCAAGTGTTGTGGTTTGCTGGTTGTGTTGGGATGTATATTTATAGGGGTTTCAGTGGTACTGGGATTTGTTCTAGGGTTTATGTTTCATTGATTTTAATCGAAATTTGAATTGGTTATATAATATACCCAATTCCCTGGCATTCTCTGGAGCTTCCCTGGCATTAACGCGTGTTGTTTGAATATAACGATATAGTTGTTTCGACGATATTTATTGAACTAATTTTGAAGATTAGGTCCTGATATTGATACAATCGCGGATATCCTTGACATCAGATTATAAAGAAAACTAGTAAATCGTTGAAGATTTTGACTTCCTCTATGGTTTGTTCTTAAACATCAATAGGACCACCATATCTGTTGATCATTACCATGTTTTATGACCTGCATATGTTATTATCCAACATTTCGTAGGAATATCACTGATTGAATAAACTATATTTCTTAAATAAATAATATAGTCAAGAGTATAACTAAAAATCAGGGCTACACTAATTTTTTGGGAGTGTTCCAATTAATTATTACTTTATTTAAGCTGCTAGAAATATTGAAGATGTATATGTTTTTTTTTAAAATAAAGTGTACTGACAGAATGATGGTCCTCAAACTTATATAGATATGTTATCTAGGTTCTTCAATTCTCAAAAATACAATTTTGGGTCCCTGGTCTTATTTGGGTGCCATACATATTTAAACGGGCTCTAACCCACTCTGTACCACAGTGATGCCTATGTGTTGGTGGCACCAATATGTTAGTCACATAGAAAAAAAATAAAAAAAACATATTTTCTCTTTTCTCCAATCTCTTCTTTTTCTCTATGATTGGCATGTTGATCCTGCTGACACCTAAGCGTCACCATACCATGTCATGTTAGCGCACAGAGCAAGTGAAAACCCATTTAAATCTATATGACACTCACAACAAGTTTTGGTATAAAAATACATTTTGAAGGTTAAGGCATCTAGATTAGGGATGAAAACAGTACGTAATTTTTCCGGATTCCGGGCCAGTTTTCGAAAACGGAATCAGTCGGTCGGAATTTTTTCGGAATTTTTCGAAAACGGAAACGAATTCGGAAATATTTTGCCGGAAACGGAATCGAATATGATAATAGCAGTTTCCGTCGGAACTCGGAATCGGTTGGAAATTTTCCGAAAACTTTCTCGGAATTTCCGAAGTTACAGAAGGCCCATACAAGTACAACTACAAGTCCATAATACCTCCCCAGCCCAACCCAACTCAGCATCTACCCTAAGTCCTAACCTAATTCAGAATAGAGATTAGAGAATAGAGAAGAGTGAGAGACAGAGAGTCAGAGCGAGCCGGGCGGAGGAGCGGCATACAGATCTCGCGGCCGTCCTCGCCCCCTCGCCCCTCGCGGCCCTGCGCGGCCGCGCCCCTGCGGTCTCGCGCCGCCGCGCCCCGGCCGTCCTCGCCCCCCGCGGCCCTGCGCGGCCGCGCCCCCACCGTCCACGCCCCCCATGGCCCCGCGCCCCAGCCGCCTCTCGTAGCCGCTGAAGCCTCATGCTCCACTAGTCCACTGGGCAAGTGGGCAGTGGGCACTGGCAGTGGCAAGTGGCAACTCTTCCTCACCGCCATCGACGCCGACGACACCTCGCATCGCAACAGCCAGCAGTGAGTGAATGTTGAATGATTGATTTATGAATGATTGATTTATGTGTAGTCTCTGTATATATTGTTGAGCAATGAGCATGACTGCATGAGTCTATATATATATATGTGTGTTTTTTGTGATATATTGTTGATTGTTGAGACTTGAGAATTAGACTTGACAAAGTTTGAAGCTCAGTTTGAGGGTTTTTTTTTATTCCGATAAATTTTCGTTACCGTATCCGCGCCGATTCATTTTCGTTTCGTTTTCGGTTTCGATTATATTCGATTCCGTTTTCGTATCCGGGGTTTCCGATTCCGTTTCCGATTCCGAAAAAAAAATATGAAAACGAAAACGATAAAGATGGTTTCCGTCCGTTTCCGTACCGTTTTCATCCCTAATCTAGATGGCATACTTGTTTAGAGATCGCTCGCACACTTCACTAAATACTCCCACATGTATAGTAATTATTTCTTTAGACTCCTATCGGTTTGCCATTTACTAGTTGTAAGCCATATGGTTTATGAGCAACAAAAAATATTTTGTGGGTTAAATTTTTCAAAAAAGTCTGAATTACACCCCTAACCTGTAGCGATTGTACGAATTACTCCTCTAAACCACAAAAGAAGGCACCCTTCACCCTTGACTATTCATACTAGACGAATTACTCCTCTGCCTCACTCTGGATGGTTTTGGTCCTACGTGATGCACTCGTGGCAGTCCAGTCAGCATAAAAAAACGAAGGGACCCACATATCAGTTCTGCTTTTTGGGCCCACCGCTCTTTAAATTTTTTTATACTGATTGGATTGCTACGTGTAAATTACGTAGGACCAAAACCGCTCAAGAGCGAGATAAGGGGTAATTTGTCCGGTATAAAAAGTTACAGGTGAAGGATGTCTGTTTTTTAGGGGTAATTCGTACCGTCCTTATAGTTTAGGGGATAATTCGGATTTTTTTTCCTAAATCTTTATACACGTTAATAATTTAAAATCCAATACTAAAAGATAAAAAAACTTAAAATAAGATTTAAAATTTAACAGTGGCTTATAAGCTAATACTTTTCTATGGCAGCTTAAGACGGTGATATGATGATTTTGGAACTACGGATGATAGAGCATCTCAATGATTACCTGTAGGCCGGGTTGGATCATTGGATGGCCGTCCAACACCGGCTTGATCCTCATGCTGACGTCATCTCCCCTATCCTGCTCACGGGACCCACCACCAGAGGTCCAGCGTATATATATCACTTCGGATCATCTTGTGGCCAAGATGCACTAGCAGACTAGCTTAGCATTCCACAAATTAATTGTTGGCCTAATTTTTTTATCATTTTTTTCTTGAGATGGCATAATTAAGTTAGTTCACTCTCAATAATTAACTAGGAGCCCAAGCTTAGCCACAATTAATCAGTGTGGCAACTAGTTAGTGTTGTGCTAGTGTTGTCATGCCTAGCCGGTGGTTGAACGCCATCCACAAAGGAAAAGAAAGTTGGGCGCCGAAATCAATCTCTTGTCACCGTTTTCTGTCATTGCTGATATTATATGTGCATGGCTACCAATTTCTTGGCTTGATTGGGTCATTATTTTTTTCTGGTCTATCTGAATGGGTTTTTGTTTGTGGCTATGTACATATAAGAGGAGAAAGGCAAGCATGCATGCGCCGACCAAAGAATGAGAGAATCTTAGGGAAATTTCACATGCTAGCTAGAAGCTATAGGTTGACAAAAAGTTGTTGTGATGGGGAGTTGGTTGGATCAGGGGCGGATCCAGGAACAAAAAATTAGAGGGGCTCAATTACACAATTTCTTCAACCTCCAGCCATTTAGGGACTTTTAGTTTATCATTCATGGTGAAAAAATTAAAGGGGGTGCTCCGAGGGTATTCATGGGTCTTGTGGGTGTAGGGGGACTCGAGTCCCCCTGCACCCACGTTGGATCCGCCCCTGGTTGGATCCAAGTAGTGATTAGATTTATCAGCTAGTTCATGGTCTCTTTTCATCCAAGGTTTTTCTTATGGATCAGGCATTTATAATTCCCTTTAAAAATGTCCTTTTTTACATGTCTGGAAAATGAGAGGGAAATTGTAGTAAAGTCTGAGAACAAATGGGTCTAATTCACCCTTTTTTTTTTTCAAACAAGTCCTAAGTGATTGTTTACATTCATTTCACATTACGCCTAATCTGTTCGGGTTGGCAGTGCATGTGAACTACGGCCTTTTTTTTAATCGAAAACACTTTCCCGTTGCTATATGAATTCGTTATCAGAAAAAGAAAATTCATAGAGGAATTGAACTAATTACTATAAAAAGATGCTATAATATTTGCATTCTAATTAATTAAAGGAGGCATAAAATTTCTGTAAAACCAAAGGGATCCAGGTAATCCACTTTCTATGGGCCTGTTTGGTATAGCTCCAACTCCTAAATTTAGCTCCAGGAGTTGAGTCTAGAGTGGAGTTGTGGAGCTGTCTAAACCCAGCTCCATAACTCTAGTATATTTTGTGAGAGAGCTCCACCCTACTCCACTCCCAGTTTTGATGGAGCTGAAACTGTTTGGCTGAACTCTAGCTCCAGGAGAGGTGGAGCTGAAGCTGCAGCTGTGCCAAGCAGGCTCTATATATCAAACATGTCCAGGCTTGATTACATGATAATTAATCTGCTTAATTATCTGCACTTGTTCTTCTGCAATGCAGCTATCAGCAACTAAATGTATGATCAGGAGCACGTACGGCCGCGACGCCTAGTCATAGGCTTTCCAAAAGGAACAAGAAAGCGAAGTGAGCATAGCTCAACTGGCTAGGTTTCTTGTGGTGGAACCAGCCCACCTAGATTTAAATTATAGATTTGACGCGGGTGCTCGTATTTATGGCTAATTATGCTTTCAGTGGTAGGCGACGTACCCGTCGACAGCGAGGCGCCTGTGGTGACTTCGTAAATCTTAAGATTTGCCGGCCCAGTCTTCCGGAGGTGCTTACAGGGGTAGGGTGTGCGTGTGTGTGTTTATAGGGGGTGAGTGTGCGCACGTTGTGAGCGCCTGCGTTTGTACTGTGTTTCTAAAAAAAAAAAAGAAGAACAAGAAAAAAAAACTGTAGCTACGTTTTGAGAGGAGCAGTTGCAAAACATGGTGAGGTGTGACGAACGTGATGAATGACTCGGATTCTTGTCTGTTTCCCCGGTGGTTTCTATTGCTTGTCCCTTCTTCTGGATTCAGTCATTACTAGGGCAACGATCTCAGGTTTCATATTTGATTTTACTTTTTTTTTCCTTTTTAATATTTGTATGGTAACTAAATCGTTTGATTTTCATGGTGTTGATTTACTGTTTTTCTTAGGGGGCAATTACTAGAATATCCTATCTATGCAAGTCACGTAAAAATAAGGAATAAATTCATCTGAGATCCCTTAACTTGTCAACGAGTCCGATTTTCGTCCTTCAACCAGAAAACCAGATACAACGGGTCCCTCAATTATCAAAACTAGTGCAGATGAGGTCCCTCGACGGTTTTGAGAGTGGTTTTGGTTGACGTGGCGCCTACGTGGCAAATTTGACTTGTCTTCATCTGATGTGGCATTAACGTGGCGCATATGTGGCAATTTGATCCGAAAAAATAATAAACTTCGTGGGACCCACATGTTAGTCTCACACATAAATTAATAAAAAATGGTGGGGGCCCACGTGGGCCCCACATGTCATTCTCAGCATCTCCCTCTCTTCAACTAGAGCCCCTCTTCTTCTTCCTCTCTCTCACTTCTCCCATCCCCGAGGTGGCGGGCGGTGTCCGGGTGAGGGATGGCAGCTCGCGGCGGCCGGGCGAGGAGGGAGGCGGCGCGCGGCGGCCAGGCGAGGAGAGGCGACGCGCGGCGGCCGGGCGAGGAGGGAGGCAGCGCTCGGCGGCCCGGCGGGCGGGCGAGGAGGGAGGCGGCGGTCGGCGGCCCGGCGGCCGGGCGAGGAGGGAGGCGGCGGTCGGTGGCCCGGCGAGGAGGGAGGCGATGCTTGGCGGCCCGGGGAGGAGGGAGGCGGCGCGCGGCGGCCTGGCAAGGAGAGGCGGCGCTCGGCGGCCCGGCTAGGAGAGGCGGCGCGAGGCGGCCGGGCGAGGAGAGGCGACGCGCGGCGGCCTGGCGAGGAGGGAGGCGGCGCTCGGTGGCCTGGCTAGGAGAGGCGACGCGCGGCGGACCGGCGAGGAGGGAGGCGGCGCTCGGCGGCCGGGCGACGAAGGGCAGCTCCGACCCGGATGTGACCATCGAGGACGTCGGCGGAGGTGGCCGGGCGAGGAGGGAGGCGGCGCGTACGGCTACTGAGCGAGGAGGGGCGGCGCCGTCCGGCTGGGCATCGCGGGCGGAGCGGCCGACGGAGTGTAGCTGTCGCGCTCGCCGGTGACCGCCGCGAGCCTAGAACTGGGTGATACAGGATGGTGTATCATGGGCCCCGCCGCCGCTCCGTCCGCCGGCATGCTCCTGCCGCCGCTCCCGCGAGGACGAGGAAGAGCTTAGAGGAAGAGAAACGAGAGCCGAGAAGGACTTGTGGGGCCCACGTGGGCCCCACCATTCTTTTATTGATTTATGTGTGAGACTGACATGTGGGTCCCACGAAGTTTACTATTTTTCCGGATCAAATTGGCACGTATGGCGCCACGTCAATGCCACATCAAAAGAAGACCAAGTCAAATTTGCTACGTAGACGCCACGTCAGCCAAAACCACCCTCAAAACCGCCGAGGGATCTCATCTGCACTGGTTTTGATAGTTGAGGGACCCGTTGTATCTGGTGTTCCGGTTGAAGGACGAAAATCGGATTCGTTGACAAGTTAAGGGACGTCATATGTACTTATTCCTAAAAATAACGGTTACACTACCAATTCAAGATTTCAGTGTTCGCTTAAATGGTCAATTAGTTGCTAAAATAAGTGTAAAAGCTTTTACCTATCCATCGACCGTTGTCTTCCTATAGCTGCCATCCTCCACCTCACACGTGAGGCTGTAAGGCAAGGACTATAATCTCCTGACCCGGTTTACTGCCTTCATGACAATCCACTATATTTTTTTTATCATTGCATTATAAGGTGTACGTACGCATCACTATACACGCAACATCACATGCACACATCCAGTCAAAAGAGATGAAAATCAATTATAATCTTACTAAATTCCTATAGTAAGTTTATTTGAATACGCATAATACTTATGTCCACCCATGACACCATGTCAACAATAATTTCCTTCGTAACCATCTGCTATATTAGTAGGTCCTTCCATGTTAATGTATTTCGTTCGAGACATGTATTGAGAGATGGAGCAATGTGGACCGTTTGATCGAGAGAGAGGGGCAAGATACAAAATAATTGGTAGTGGAGTAATTAACTAGTAAAATATATGCGTTTTATTTTTATTGAATACCTTTACTACAAAGTATTGTTTGGTATTGTTAGGTAGAAATCAAAGTAAATATTCTAATAAACAATTTAATGAATCGAATCGTACATAAAAAAAGATTGATGCCTCTTTTTTTTTTTTTTGAGAACCTTTCACTTTGTTCTTGTACTTGGATTTATACATGTTCACCGAAAGAAGACAGAGAAAGAAGCAATCCCCGTATGGTTAAGGGTTGAAGAGGAGATGAGATGGACCGATCAAAGGTTAGGCGCAACCGCACAAGCGCATCAGAGAACGGAGAACCCAGTTTTAGATGTACATAGCGCTACTATGGAGCTCCAGATCTTTCTGGAAGCAGCATCTGAGAATCGATCGAGTGCTTGATTACACCAGCAACGGGGCGGTTGCTCATGGCCCACATCCAGTACACCCGAGTGGCGTCCACATCAGAGGTCACCGTCCACGGTCAGGTCGGCGCACGCGCGGTAAAATATCATCAGTTCATCTTGCCTGTCACATCGCCACCTTTTTACGACACACCCTCTCACCCTCAATTCCGTTCAAAAAGGTGGCAGTAGTACTACTATATTATAATGGACGATTTAACCAGGGAAGATTATGTACGATACCATTGGAAGAGCTACCGTTTTGTGAAAAGTTTTTCTTTTTTTATTTGAATTAAAATGTTTCTTTTACTTTGGGTATGAATTTGATGAAAAGTTATCATGTTTATACACCATAACACTAGCAGATTCGTGCTCACAAAATGATAAATACATGGCAGATATACAAAATATAGTAAACTAATAATTTGAGGTCATGAATGGAACTTATACCAATAACCATGAAAATTTATACGAGCAAGACAACAGAAACATGAAATATTTTCATTTGATGATAACATCGTTCCGAAAACCGACTGCCTTCACAGCACTCTGATGACGATATAAGCAATCCGAAAACACATTGACGATGGTATATAAGATTCCTGACAACTACTTTGTATATTTTCTTTAAAACACGAAAATTAGTCTTCCTTGTTTGACATTTCCATACCAAACAAAGACCAAGTAAAGCCGAAAAGTCAAAACCATGTAATATTATGTGTAAGCCTGAATGCAAGTACGTCTATGTATAGTACTGTGGTGCGTTTCTCTCATCCCAGCTCAACAAAGGCATGTGATGGCTGCAGATTATCGTCGCCGCCGCAATACTTCCATCACTGCTGCAAAAACTTGTTCAATGCCGTTATGTCCAATGCTGGAAATTCACTTACGGCAGTAAGCACTGCAAGCCCAAGCTTAATGGCATCATCCTTGCTCGGCGCCTGTGCATGCACATGTTCACATGTCAGTTAAATGGATGATTGGAAGGCTTGGGATTTCAGATAGGGCAAAGGGAGGCTGACCTCGATGTTAAGGGGAAGAACTGGGTCATGGAGGGATAACCGCAATAAGAACCAGCCACCATATCCTGAAACTCTTACCTGCGTAGTAAAAATATAGCATGATACAGCAATAAGAAAGCCCAGCTACTTTACCCAAGAAAAGGTAGATATATCAAGATATATACTCAAACTTGTGAAAACAAGCAAAGAATAATGACATACGCCTTCATAGTTCTTCGGTGCTTTGCACAGATATTCATCTTTACTGATTGCATTCTCCAAATGTTTCAAGACAGCTTCTCCGTAATCACGGAAGGACCTGTAAAGACAAATTACATCCACGAAATTTTAGCTGATTTTTCTAAATAGGGCACCTCTATTTTTCTGCACTAACAGCACAAACATGTATAACCCTCAGTTATGTAAGCATGCATGTCAATCAACTGGAGTAAAAAAGGCTTAAGAGGCATATCTATAGCAGACATAATTGTATTGTATGTACTTTGATACAATTTGTTCAACATCTGCTGATCATCTCTTCACAAGTGGGAGCAGAGTAGTGGTGGAAAAAGTGTATTGGGAGGAAAAGGCTGTGAAAAATGCTGTAGTTAGCAGTGGCTGTACCATGGCCATTCCCAGTATTTAGAAAATAATGTAGGGTATGAAGAGGAAACTGACAGGGATCACATGATATCTTATTTCAAAATCAATCATTCAGTCATTGATTTCCTGTATATCAAATCAAAATAATAATATTTGTGCAGAATAAGGTGGTAGGGAACAACAAATGTTAAACAAAAAAAAAATCAAATTGATTCATTCATGTAATTTTCTCAACTAGAAATGGCAAAAATGACATTGTTTCAATGATAATTGTGTAGTGTTAGATAACTGGTAATATAGCTTCTCTTGGAAAGGGACATACCCCCCTTTCAAATCTGCATGATTCTGATCAATCTTCAATCTTATCTCCACTGTCACAGAAGCCTCCTCAAGGCCCTCGACCAAATCAGTCAAAACTTTACTACCAACGTTTGGATTCAATATTCTAGCTGCAGCAAGCTTATTCAAAAGTTTAACCTGAGGAAAAAGAACACCCATATCATTTGGGTATGCCCATAAAAGAGTGGTGACGAGTGATGACAAAAAGACATGAAGGTGAATGTCTGTAAATAAGATTGTTTTGCACATTTCCTTTGGAATTATTCCAAGAGGGAGGAACTATCCCCAATGGGGATTCCCCATAACTGGGATAGAAATATTACTACAATTTTGAAGCAGAATGTACGACATGACAGATTCAGCTGTAATGTGGTACTGAAGTTCAAAACATATTTTATCAGATCAAATGTAACTGGCAAACACAAACCTGACAGATTTAATAATCTCGAGTAGGTAAATGCATGCCTTATGCATGAAATACCAATATGGTTGCTTGGTTGGACAAATTTCATGGTGGGAAGGACAATAAATTGGCAGAAAAGGGGTCCTTACCATAAGATATGCACCATCATCGAGCCAGTGATTCTCTTTCAGTGCTCCATGGCCACTTGTTTCCATAGCTAAATGTGACTCCTCACCAATAGTATTCTGAAAGATTGACCAGGAATGACTTACATTTTATTCAGCCAGGTGAAATAGAACAAATTTCAAGACAATCTGAATTATACAATCAGTACAAACTAACCAGACGAATAGCCTCATCTATTACATTCTTGTACCCTCGCTTGAAACGATGATGCTTCCCTCCTTTATCATAGAACAAATGAGCAACCGATAAACAAATAGAACAGAGGACCAATCTAACAAATACCTACCAAGTTTATTTTCAATAAATGTAGTCAGCCCATCAGAAGTCACGCTATCTGTCACAATTGTAGTGCCTGGGTGCTAGTATCAGAGCAATGGATTTGTTAGTGGCAATCACTGCAGTAGCATCGAATAATATTGGGTGGGTAAAATCAGCTGTAAGACACTCTTATTCTGTCGCATATGTTGTAGGACACTCTGAATTGTCTTTGCTGAAACACATCACAATCTTTAAAATTTTGCTGCAGGACATTCAGACTATTAAAATAATATTTTCAGTTGCGTATGGGAGAATTTTTTACAAATGACTTGTGGCACCCCTCAACCTTACAAACTATGCCAAGATGTCAGCAACTACATCACACTAGTTTCTTTTCCAACCAACACTGAGCAGAGTTGAATGGTTTTGGACCTTCACCAGGCTTGTCAGCAGTGAGATGGTGGCTGGCTGTGGAACCGACATAGGCTGGACAACTAGACGTATTGGGGCTGGAGAGCACCGCAGCGATGCAATAGAGAAAACAGGGAAGGTAACCAACTAGAACGGGAGGGAGATACAGGGATAGGGGCTGGCTTCCATGGTTCTGTCACCTCCCCCAGCTTCGTTCACCAAGACTGTCAGCCTCGGCCAAACAGCAGCAGCTCAAGGCAATACAGTGGAAGAAAAATGGGAGAAATATCCTCGTAGGAACAGGAGCAAATGAATTCATCTGCCCAGCCCCTAGCACATGTGTCCTGTCAGCAGTGCCTATTGCATCACCCTTGCAGGTGTGACTCACCAACTGATTTGGTCCTTTCAATGTTGGTTCCATTTCTTGCCATTAGGATTCAAAATAACAATGATATGTTTGTAGGAAGGGGATAAAGTTTAAGAGGAGGTCGTGGCAGCGAAGGATAATACTAAAATAATAACCTAAGTGTATTGTGGCATATAGCCACAGTTTTCAGAGTGCCATTTAATCATGCCACAGTTCTAGAGTGTCTCATAGCAAATGCCCACAAAACTAGTCACACGACCAACTTTGCCTTGTGAGATCTTACCTCTTCAAGAACTATGGCAGACATCAAAGCAATCAATCTGTTACGGTTTAACTCACGACCACTTGAATCAACAGCAGCAGACCTGCAAACGGCACAATTTTAGGGTTGTGCATTACGAACCTGTATAATTTCAATGGCTATATATTTTATACCTGTCAACATCAGTATCAAATATGATGCCCAAGTCTGCCTTGTTATCGGCCACAGCTTGTGTAATGGCTTTCATTGCAGTTTTGTCCTCAGGATTTGGAATGTGATTTGGAAACATGCCTGAATATGTAATTTGTAAAATGACAGGCAAGACGAGACTACCGGCATGAAGAAAAGGTGCAGATATTACCATCAGGCTCTAGGAATTGGCTCCCAGTAGTAATAGCGCCTAACGGCTTGAGTACCTTATCCTGATCCAAGAACAACATGAACTTCAAACAAAAAATGGTGCATTGCTGAAAAACAATTAATGGAAATATGGAAGTAAAGGGATTACCACAAAAAAGCCACCTGCTCCATTCCCTGCATCCACGACTATGTGCAGTCCCTCCAGTGGTTTTTCTAAGACCATATGAGAACAGACATAAGAACCAGGAGTTTTCTTATCTTTATCATAATTTATATTTAACCATTTCACAATCGTTTTCTCAACCATTTCAACATTGTTATCCCACATTTCCTTACTGCACCCTTTATGGCTGACATAAGTATACTAGATACAGGTTAAATGTTAAATACATGAAGTTATTATTTCCTTTCTGAGAATGTAAAGAGTGACACAATGGCACAGTGGTCTTCACAAGTGAAGGGAACTTTATCAATACATGCAAATACATGTATAAAGAATATGTAGTGAACAACAAGATGGTTTTCTATTGAAATATATAAAAACTATATAATAGAGCAATGAAGCATACATATGAATTGTATATGGAAAAACAATCATGATCAGAGACCTGAAGTAAACTTAACTAAAACTATCAGAATGCACGTACTCTTGTTACGGGATTAAAAGAAAAATCAGATAAACATTATATTGCTTCATCATTGTAAGTATTCATTAGGTGTGCATGCTGCAAAAAATAATCACTGTGACTTCATCGTGGACTGAGACCATTGTTTATTTTAACCATTCTTATCCACTCCAAAGACCTAATCCATCATGTTACAGTTGGAAAAAAAAAAGCTTAGGCCATCTCCCTAAAGTTGAAAAGAAGATCTAGGCCTGGTTGCTAGTCTCTGACAGCTAGCCCAAGTCTACTCTCTATCTCTTGGCTCTCACGGTAGAAGTCAAGAATATTTGAATTTTTCACTAGCAATGTGGCCCACACGTCAGTGATAGGAGTGGTGGTGGCAGAACAACGAATTAAATTAGACAATATACTTTTCATTCAATTTTTTTTCATAAATATCCGGGATGCGAACTTTTTTGCAGAAATATAACGTCGATCTCGCACAACTGTTGCGCGAAAATGATGTATGCGTGATGTCGCGGATGGTATCGCGCAGTGAAAGCGCGAGACCGTGCGGTCTCACGCGGCTACAACGCGAGACCGTGCAATCTCGCGGAACAGAAGAGCGAGACCAAACAGTCTCGCTGATGGAAACAGCGACACCGTCTCGCTGATGGAACGGTCTCCACTTTAATTAGTGATTAATTACCTAATTACCTATTAACTAATAAGAAATAGTGATTAATTATCCTGATTAGCGATTAATTAATCCCTAATCAGGATAATTTAATCAATCCCTAATCAGGGTAATTAATCACTAATTAACCATTTGAATCGCCATGGCAGTCCGGTATCACTGTCTGGTTCAGCAAGACCGTTCAGTCTCGCTCTTCCATTCCGTGAGACCGCGCGGTCTTGCGTTGTTGCCACGCAAGACCGTGCAGTCTCGCACTTTCACCGCGCGATACCGCCCACGATGTCAACCCCACGTCATTTTCGCACAACGGCTGTGCGAGATCGACGGTATATTTCAGCAAAAAAATTGCAATCCGAATATTCCTTAAACATAATTGAATGGACAATATATTTTCAAAATTAATTCGCAGAACAACCACCACCACTACCAACATTTAAAGTAGTATAGACAGTGGCCCACACATCAGTGATAGGAGTGGTGGTGCAGAACAACCACCACCACTACCAACATTTAAAGTAGTATAGACAGTGTGGCCCACACGTCAGTGATAGGAGTGGTGGTGGAAGAACAACCACCACCGCTACCAACATTTAAAGTAGTATAGATGTGTGATAGGTAGCCAACTGATTTTTTTTATTGAGCAGACATAAATTATACTCCCTCCGTCCCAAAATATAATAACTTTTAGCACTTAGGATTTGTCCCAAAATATAACTTCTCCATCAGCATTCCCTTCCTAACCAATCACAACCCTCCACCATTCACTTTTCCCACCTACCTCCACTTCTCAACCAATCACAATCGATTTCTATTTAATTCTACCTACTTTCTTAATAACCGTGTCAAATTCTAAAACTCTCTATATTTTGGGACAGAGGGAGTATGTGATTATAAGATGACTCATAAAAGGCATAAGCTATCTTGGTGAGTTTGTGGATATCAAAAGTTAAGCAAGCGAGTGAAAGATATCTAATTGCAAACTAGTCTAGCAAAACAAAAGGTTATATTGATTAGCATAAAAATGTACCTTTGTTTCCAGCAGATTTACGAACTGCTTTCACAAGATCGGATGCATAAATTGACATGTAATCGACATTACTCACTTCTCCCTTCGAAGCTTGCTCTAATTCTTGTGTGCTACCATGAGAAGAGTCCTCATATATTCTAGAAGCGCGCTCCAAGATATCTTTGATATCAGCCTTATTCAAACCACCGGCACTTGTAAAAAATTTGAGACCATTCCGGTTGTATGGAAGATGACTTGCTGTGAAAGGCAGAAGTTTGTTTGGTTAAAAATAGAGAGAATTAAACAGTTGTTTCTACATAATTAGGCATTTCAAAAGAAGAATGACTGAACATGTGGAAAAACAAGAAAGGGAAAACTTTGTTCTAGTGACTACAAATGTGTGCCATACTGGTTCTACCACAGAATGTGTCTCGATTTTGCCAGTATCGAAACTGTTTCATGTTTGAAAGTTACTACGATATTACACGTTGCCCCTCGTAAGAATTTTTCCCACCTATGTCTTCTTTCCTCTTCCTCACCATCCTTGATCCTTAGGAGCAATTCCAAGTCCACTTCAAGGAATAGCTGAGTGTGTCTGCTTAGGCATGGATGCCAGATTATCTCAAACTACCCAACAATAAATAACTACACAAATAAATGGAGTAGGATCGATTTACATAGAGGAGTTGTAGCAGATGCAACCCCACTGGCTACCTGTGTGTAACTATGAAGTATGAACCCAAGTTACCCAGCTCCGTCCACTCAGCAGTACCTCCTCACACAGGCTCCCCGCTCCCCTGGCTGCTAGGCCATCAGAACTGTGGCAGTGATTCTTACTATTTGCGCCGAAGGGGATTCAAAAGGGAGTGGAGTATGTGCACCCTCTTCACTGGCCCTACTGTGCTTTTCATTGGCAGAGTTTGGTGCCAAGCAACAAGGTCTTGGTGATAGTGGTCTCCTAGGAGTTTATTACAGAAGAGCGGATAAGATGGGGTGGGGCTGGAATAGGAAAATAGTAGGGGCTTTAGATAATAGATTTCAGGAGGAAAATAGAAAGGAGCTCCCATGAGGAAGAAGGATGGGAAAGGATGATTTTTCATGGGCAATACCAAGATGGTGCACATATGTGTGGCAAGAACAAAAATTCCCAATGAAGGAGATATTTTCCAATAGAGAACAATTATGTAGTCAAAGAATCATCAATAAAATTTACGTATGTTTGGAGAAGAGATTGGACACCATGTATATGTTTCAAAACTCTTGTGTATTCATCTGAGAAATGCTTGCCTGCTAATGTTGCACATTAAACTGGGAATAGTACCTGTTATCATTATGGCTCCATCAACTGGGCAATGATTTATCTCATCTTCTGTAAGTGTACTGTTGAACATTGCTGGTGTTGAAGCCAATCTACATCATGAATTGTCATAAATGAATATTTGGCAGATCTTTACTTGTTAAGCAGAGAAGTAAGAAAGTTGTGAAGAAAAGACTGATTGAAATTGTGGAAACCATTTGATGTAGTTCAAATTAGTTCCCTAGGCTTGTAGTTACGTAAGAATTGATGTGTGGATTTTCTCAGTGAAAAAGAATCACAGTAGCAAGAGGACTTCATCAATTACACACTTAAATTCTAAGCATTGAAGGCTACAGGAAAAACTGAAGATCTTGATAAATGTAAGAAAATTAAATATTCAACTCACCCAAATTGTAAAACATCATGCCCTGCAGTGGTAATTCCAAGAGTAACTGCATCCTGACAATTATCACTTTTTAATAAGCAATACTTGCAAAAAGAAAAATTGAAGGACCAAATCACATTGCTCAAACTACATATAGACTTGTCAGAAGTCAGGACTGGAAATTTTTTGTTCAGTTACCAACAGAATGCAGTGCCTAATATAAATCAAATAACATCATTGAAAAATTATAAAAGGTAGCAGAGAACACATCCTTGACTAATATGTACCAGAACTACGAATCCAAATACTTAGGCATGCACAAAGGTCCTTTTAATATCTCATTAAGTGTGTATATTTTTTGTCAAAAAAGTACAAATGGTAATTCAATTGATTGTAAGTAGTAGAAGAAAACTCTGCATGCAAAAGGCACAACTTTTCAAGGAATTATCTGTTGCACAATTTTCTATTCCCTCCTGAATGAGTAGTTTTTATTTGGACACCACGTGTGGAGCTCTACTCCCATTTCCCAATCAACTCACACAGTGCAAACACAGAAGGTGTGAATTTTGACCTCCATCCATCAACTCCAACAGCCTTACCCAACAACATACATTATACTGACGTATGCTCCAAAAGCCAAGTTCAATTCTCAAAATATATGGAAATAGAGCAGTATCACTATATAAAGTGAACGATTTCAGTCAATTTGCATTCAAGAAAAGAAAAACAACCTGTAGCTAGTACAACATCAGATGCAAATAAGCAGCAGATATCTGGATATAAGTCTTTCGTACCACCTTATATTTAGACAAAATACATATAATTACAACTATTTGCCGCAATCATAGAAATGCTTGAGATGTCAAAACAGAAAAGTTGTTCACATCCTTTTTCTTTCTGCGAGAATGCTTCTTGATCCACATATGAAATAAAAGTTTGTTAATCCCAAATTTCAACATGGCAACATAATTGGGCAAAAATAAAAAACAACAACACTGGTTAGTGGTTAAAACTGAGAATAGTCCAAATCATCACTAGTTGGAACAGGATTTTAGTAATTATAAGGGGTGAGCTTAATTCCTTAAAGCATGCAATGCATTATTTTGAATAAAGGTTCAATAAAAATAAGAGCGGAGAACAGGAGCCACCTGCAATTTATGTGCAGAAATTCGAGAATCATGTCCAACAGAAATTCTTAAACGTCTCCATCCATCCGCTTTCTTCTTGTTTAATAACCATGCAGCAAATGCAGAAGCTATTGCTTCAGTAACAGGCTCAGTGAGATTTACGGGCTCGCCTTCGACCCCACCAACAGCAACACCACGAATATCACTGTGAGAAATAGAAGAGAGTAAAGCAAATTGATTAATAACACATCATGGATGCAGCACAAGAAACTCTTTAGCTTTAACTAAAATTGTTATAAACCCCATCTAGAACATCCCAAAGCTGTATGATCAATTGATTCTTCACCTTTTTTAGCAAAAGTGATAACTTAATTCCAACATACCAGCTATATCAAGAAGAACAATATAAGTTCACGATAATCACACAATTCCAAATAAATTATGATAGGCATATGCCCATGACATAAATCAAGAGTTGATCAAACATGAATTTTAACCTTTAGTCCTAGGTCTGAGGAAGATGTTATATCAGGGAAAATATCATGCTAAGAGATAGGAATATAGAGAAAATATGCCCAATTAGATACAGATACAAGGTCTCCTTCAATTGATGTCAAAAGAGAAACAAGTCCATAGACAGGATGACATGAACCACATGTAACACACAAGCTAGCAATTTGGAATTTTACTGTGCTGTATAACTAAAGACAAATTCTCCTAATGGCGTAGAGCTGAAGAAAAAGTTCTTTTAATGCACCAATCCATGCCATGCAGGTAAAGATAGGATGGAAACTAGCAATATCTCACAAGCTCTTGCCAGATTTTTTTTGTTTGAGACTTTTAACACTAGATTATCCATTAGATCACCGAATAATTTACCATAAAGTGCAATGCAGCCCAAAACGCATGTAATTACTTTCTAAAAAAGGTCAAAGCCAAAGTTGAACTTGTATTCATACAATAATTATTCAATGGTCATATGCATTTCACCAGCAGGATATCCAGATACCTTTTGACAATTGCAGCTGAACCAGAAAAAGCTAAGCAACAGCATCGCTCAAAATTATGTGATTTGCGGTTTACAGAAGCAATATTCTTGTAATTATAATCTCAAATGAGGATGTATGGTTATAGGTCTTTCCATGTTGTTTCAACTTACAACATTTTTTTTTATCTCAAAGAGTTTTTTCTCTGACACAAGTAAGATTGAAATTTAATAGCTATTGAGGTGTTTAAGAGCAGCACATAAAGCAAAAACATGGGATGCATGTCAAAACACCAAAGCAAATAGATGGTTAAATGAAAAGGAACACAGAAGCACTAGACATGGAATTGACTGTTAACATAAGAACCACGGTGCTTTCAAACAACATCATAGTTGGAAACCATATGCTCATTACCATTGGCTTAAAGAGAAAAACAGCCATATAATTTGACCTTAGAAAGAGCAATATCATAGTTAGACTAGAGGGTGTAGATCATAGAAAGAGTGAACATTGTTATACCTGCCATTCTGGAGCTTTAAAAAGTCAACTTTCGCAGAGGATGGGACAACGCTGCTACCTTGAGCAGCTGCAATGAAGGTTACTGTAAGTGACTTTTCAGATTTGTTGATACATACATTAAAAAAAAAAGGTATTGATTCTATAATCTGGCATAAAATCACCAAAATGAGTTAGCGAAAAAAAAATCCTAACGTAACACTAGTGAGCATTAAGCAACCTGATCAATGAGAGCCTAGAACACACCATTGCAGCTAATATATGCTTGTTTGCTGGAGCTAATCCATGCTGTTGATATTGTATTTAACCACTTGGCTGAAGTACCAGCCAGTCTTAGTCTACATTCCTGGAAAGAATGCACGCTGCGGGTATCGAGGGCACAAAAGTCACTGGGATATCTTGTGCTGTGTCTAGCCTGTGGGCGATGTTGTGCCAAGAATGCATTTTGAATGATCTTCCCTGATAATGCTGCACAAATTTTCAAATCTATCAGATCTTCTTCTAATGTCAACTTATAAATGTTACAGGGATAATTATTTATTTTGGTTTTTATGCAAACATTGTAGCCAAATGGCATAGTTTTGCTCAACGTGATGCAAATTGGTAAACATCAGCATTCCCCCAATTCTCAAAATTTGTTCAGGTGCAAGGATTCAGGTAGTCTTAAAACGAGCTCCATTCCATTAATTCAGGGAGTAGATAATATATGAAGAAGTCTCCTAGAAAGGTGTAGTATTTATATTCAGGAACAGGATTGGATTGTTAGAACAACTTATATTCCGGAACCGATGGGTTGATTTTATTCCATAGAAGCCATATTCAAGCCAAGCTAATCATCCTAGTAGCAGAGGTGGTTGCAGGGAACTACATATACTGATCAGGACAAAAAGGATGAAGGTGTTAGTCATCAGAAGATCTGACTGTCAGAGTCACCATGGAAGTGCTCCATCGTTAGCAAGATTGTTGATCTATATTCACGATTTATTAGATCTTCATTCCAGCATTTATTGTTGAGACAAAACTACTCGTCAAATTTGCACTTACTAAATAATTAGATTACTTCTCAGTTCAACTTTGATATATTTCTTTCTGACAACCCCATGACAGTATCATGGAAGTGTCCAATGCTCTAACATCTATATTCCACGGTACTGTCATGGGGTTGTCAGAACCATGGAGGGCAGTCCCTCTCTCACAATATGCTTCCGATATTTACATTTCACATTAAATCAAACTAGCAACCACCACTAACTAATTACTTCACCAAATTAACTGGCACAACAGATTCACAACCCAACGTATAGCAACAAGTTATAGCACAGCACAGCACAACAGAATGTCTACATCCAATCCAACTACAAACACAAGGAGTCATCAGACCTAAATGCAAACAAGTGGGGATATCATCGACCCCTCAGGGAGTCAGTCGGCGGTGGGCGAAACAGGAAACCCGCCAGAGAGCGGAAAGGGGGAGGGGGCGCTGCCGCCGCCGCCGCCGCCGGCGGGGGGTGGTGGTGGCCTCGTGGGTATCGCTTCGGGGGTTTGGGCGGGGTCGCCTCCCGGCCTCCCATGAGGCAGTCGGGGAGGTTGAGGAGCTCGAGGCTTTGGATTCAATTCCGATCATGGAGGGGAAGGGGAAGGGGAAGGGGAAGGGGAGGCATGCACTGACCTGCCATGCGGATGCGCGGCGGCGGGCGACTCTGCTACTGCGGCGGGGAGGCGGTGAGGTTGAGGACGGGGACGAGGAGGCGGAGAGGTTGTTGGAACGGACGGAATAATCTATGAGGTGCCGTATCGCCGTCCGCCGGTAAGAGGGATCCGTCCTTCTTTTTTTTTTTTTTCGAGAAATATCGGTATAGCTGTGCTGTTCTGGTCTCCGTCACTTGGTTCGTTCCGTACTTGCGTTCCTCAAAGGCCATAGCAATGTTTGATTCCAATTGATTCTTTTTTTTCTCTTCTGTCAAAAATAAAAAGAATTCATTCTTTTCCACAGTATTACCAAAAATTTCAAAAGTCATCCCTATCTTTCTCTAGCAACCTGTATTAAGCCCCATTTGATTTAGATTATTGTGTGAATTACCATCACGGATTATTGATTTGATTATAAGTATATCAAGAAATGTATAACAGGGCCGTCTCCATGCTATCTCTACGTGATTTCCAGTGAAATTTGAATAGAGAGGTGGCACCATGCCCCAAAGCCCAGATATTTGGGTTTAACTGAGACACCTCATCTACAATGAGAGTAGGACGTGTGCGGCCTATGCCTGGCCATGTAGCCCACAACCCTATATGCCTACATGACTAACGCAACCGTATGAGAGCTAAAGTAAACGTGCAAGTGAACTAACCTGTGAATCCATTTATAGTCTAAATAAGTAAGTACCGATTACCCACTTTTTGACCTATAAGTGGATTCATGGGTTAGCCATTTACATCATTTTAATCTCTAAGAGGGAGGGATTGGAGAATAATTCCACACCACAATAGGAGTATAATAAATGCCCTTCAAATATCACTCAACCTCCCTTATGGGAGGGATTAACCGAATAAGGCATAGCCTAAAGTGCAACATAGGTGTAGTCGGGCCCTCCTGTGAGCGTTGACCTGGAGTATTGTAAATAACACTGCCCTCTAAAGGGCAAAGAGTTGTAAATGCACAAGCCATTTTGGCACTATATAAACATGATTTTTAGCCTCTTCCCGGGCAGGAGATTCATTCTCCACCCTCTTCTCATGTCTCCTGCGGTATGGAAACTTTCCGACCATACCGATGCCGTTTTTTCCCATAAAACTAACATAACAATAATATTTTTAACGACTATTACTGCTTGCAAAATTAAGTTCGTTTTAATTTCTATCAGTGTCGCGTTGAAGTTGATCCTAAATAGTTAAATTCATAAATAGAAATTTCTCAACCATTTCCAACCGTTTTTGTAAAAATAATAAAAAACATGGTTCTGATTCCGACCGTTTTCACCCCTCACCTCCTCAAGCTTATGTCCTTAAACTCATGGATTCCATTGTGCTTGTTGGGGCAAGTAATTGTACCAACATTAATCTCTCAGGTTGATCAATTAGAGTATTTTTTTTCCTTTCTACCAACCAAATGTCCATAGTTTTTTTTTTCAACATTAGCGACTCACATCACCTCTCCAGGTTTCTAAACAATCATGTATACATGAAATTGTTGTGGGCGTGAACATTTTTCTTAGAATGATTTAAATTTCAATTAACTTAAATCACTTAAATAAGTATAAAATATATATATCAGTTTTGCCCTCGATCAAGTGAAACTGCAAGGGAGTTATCTTCAACTACCGCTAGCTAGAAAACTAAGGTGGCAGATGGAAACTTAGCAATAGTGTTCAACATTTCGTGATGGCTACAACTTTGGCAAACATGTTAGATATTAGGTTACCATGTGTGAGGGGTGAAGGTAGAGTGGAGGTCTAGAGCAGGAGCAGCTTTAGAGGGGTTGGGAATGGTGCTCAATGGCTGCAAAAGATAGGTAGGTAGAGGAGGTAGAGTGACAAATCTAGCGTGTGAGGGGTAAAGGTAGAGTGGAGATATAGAGCAGGGGCAGCTTTAGAGGGGTTGGGAAGAGGAAGATAAAGGTCATATCAACGTCACCACCAAAGAAGGAGGCGTTGGCAAGGCAAAGGGCAGTGTGGTGTTGTAACGTTCCGCCTCTTCCAGGCCGGGCCCACTTACATCTGGCAGCTTTTCTCGTGTGCACTCGGGAAGAATTTCCCGATCGGTCACCATCCCAAAATTGCTCCAAGCCAAGCACGCTTAACCTCAGAGTTCTTTGGAGATCGGCTTCCAGAAAAGAAGTTGCAACTTGTTGGTATGAGTATTCTATTAATCCTATTAAGCCCTGGGCCAGGATGTCACATCCTCACCCCCCTTAACCTCAGAGTTCTTTGGAGATCGGCTTCCGAAAAAGCAGGATGCCCCTTAACCTCAGAGTTCTTGGGAGATCGGCTTTTAGAAAAGAAGTTGCAACTTGTTGGTATGAGTATTCTATTAATGTCACATCCTCACCCCCTTAAGGGATCCGACGTCCTCGCCCTGGACCAGGATGTCACATCCTCACCCCCTTAACCTCAGAGTTCTTTGGAGATCAGCTTCCGGAAAAGCAGGATGCCCCTTAACCTCAGAGTTCTTTGGAGATCAACCTCTAGAAAAAAAGTTATAACTTGTTGGTATGAGTATTCTATTAATGTCACATCCCCACTCCCTTAAGGGTTGTAACTTGTTGGTATGAGTATTCTATTAATGTCACATCCTCCCCCTTTAAGGGATCCGACGTCCTCGTCGGTCAACCCTAAGCCTGGAACGTGCACTTGGGAAGAACGTCGGTCAACCCTAAGCCAGGAACGTGCACTCGGGAAGAATTTCTCAATCGGTCACCCATCCCGAAATTGCGCCAGGCCAAGCACGCTTTAACTCAGAGTTCTTTGGAGATCGGCTTCCGGAAAAGAAGTTGCAACTTATTGGTATGAGTATTCTATTAATCCTATTAAGCCCTGGACCAGGATGTCACAGGTGCAAGCAGTCAAGGGTTCACTGTCGCATGGAGCTCACGCATGTGTAGGGATTGATCCAATCTAGATAGGAGTGAGTGTGTGTTTTAGGTTTATACCGGTGTATAATTTTGGAGCAAAACTGACTGGGATCTAGAGAAAAAATAAGTAACTAACAAATTATAAGCTTATAACCATTATAGCTTACTAGTCACCAACCCATGGGCTAGTTTATCAAACACTAACTGATCATATTTATAAAATGATTAACTTCATTACAACAGAAAAGTAGGAGTGACATGAAAGGAAAACAAGAATAAAAGTAACTTCAAGCTGATTATAAGTCATAATGTTTATCAGTGGTAAAAAAATAATTTACATATAAAGCTTTTGCATGTGTTCTTACCGACTTAAAATGCAACGTAAGAAAAACGAACTAAAAAAAACATAAAAAAACAACTTTAAAATTAATTTTAAAATTTAAATTTTAGTTGTGATTGATAAGTTGAGACAAAATGATGGTGCTCGTGTTACGTGGAGTGTTGGGTGCAGACTCCATCCATCATTGTTCTAAACGTCTGTATTATGAGGTCGCACTTACACGTATGTGCGTGTAAAGTATGTGTCCTCTATGCTGGAATCAATTAATGAAGTAGTAGCAGTTGAGCTATATTTTGAAAATTAAACCCAATAAATTCATAGTGAACGTTATGCCAAACAACTTTGCTATACGTCCGACGCATGTGTCTGACGCATTGTACGACTGAAACGGCAGAAAAAACGAGCAATGATGGCGTCAGATATGACTACGCGTCGCTGGGCCTCGTTGTTGTTTACTTGTTTGCTTGCGTACTGTGCTTTCTGTACACTGAGGCCAGAGGCTAGTCCGGCTGAGACATATATCGATATAGCTTAGGTTGCTATTAAAATGATCGGAACGGCTATTCTTCTGTCGACAGATTTTGTTGGGCTCTATCTTTCGTTTTTTGGGCCATCCATCTTGTTTAAGATTCGTGCATTCACTGGGTTATGAGATGGACTTTATTGTTTGGGCCACTCATCTTTTTCTTCTTTGGGCTGGGCTTTATCGGTTTTTTTTGTTTTTTGGCTATGTGGGTCCCACAACTACTGTTTAATTTTTGAAATCCGCGCCTGCTTTTTTCTCATCTTTTCTGTGGGTCCCACTCTTGCTCATTTATCTCGGTTCTTCCAACAGAAGAGAGAGAGAGAGAGAGAGAGACGAAACTGTGAGAGGGAGAGGAGAGCAGCAGCGATTTTGCCGTCGTCAACGGGAGGCGTTCTCGCTGCGGCGTCGATCTGGTGATTCCGCCGGAGTGACGTGAGGGCGATTCGTTGGTGAGTAGCTCATCGTGTACGGAGATTCTTTGGTGAGTACTTGCTCCCTTCCTCCATGTTTTTCTTCCTCCTTTCTCCCCTTCTAATGTCGCTGGAATCGGGAGCCATCCGCATGTGTGATTTTCGCGGGTAGTTTTGCTTTTGCTATTTGATGAGAGGACGACATTGTTGATGCAGAGCATTTGGGATCACTTTTTTTTGGGGATCAGTAGTAGTCGTTATGCAATATAGGCTTTGATTTAGCTCTCATGTAGTGCCTCTGACCTTGCTTGTGTCTCTGTGCATTTGCAACTGGTGATGTTGATTAAATTGCCAAGGTTTTGCTTGTTTGATGTATGTATTGGCCTTTAGCTTTTGTATGATATTCTGGGAATCCCTTATTATTCACTATGAATGTCAGTATAGTGTTTAATCTGGCTTACAAATTAAACACTGTATCCTTTCTTATTTCTTATGTTTGATCCATGAGTATGTTTGGAAACAAATGCAGTTTTTCTACGGTACTTGAGGGTGGGTGTACTGTTTTGAGATTTTGTGCATATGCAGTACCCTGGTTACCTACTTCGGTAGTTGCAAGCATGTATTGGTGTATGTTTGAAGGTTTGCAAGATTTTGATCCTAGCTAATACACTATGTCAGGGGAAACCCCTTACTTTTCATTTTTTATTTTCAGTTCAGACTTCTTTTATGGTGACAAACAACTCCAGGGATCTGAAACAGCCCACCTCAGTGTTTAGATCTACTCAAAATATACAAATGGTCCATCAAAGAAATATAATTATGTATTTATGTAGGATAGTGTGTGCTTAGTCATGGAAAATGGAAATTGGTTGCATATGGAGCAGTGCTTAGCTAATAAAGCGTTGCTTGTGCAATCATTATCTGTACGCACTTATGTTCTTGCTTCAGTGTGATGGCTCTTGATCCTGTTTGATAATGGTTACTCAACTGGTTGACTAAAAAGAACTGCTGCTAAACTAGTGAGTGTTCA